TATTTTGCTTTATCTTCTAGTTGTTTGAAATCCATGGTCAAAAAATTTTTCCAGGAATGGCCTTGATAACCAGTAACCCATGAAAATACATATTTTTGTTATCAAGGCATCATTCACATACAATCTTATGAAGGTTTCACATGAGTGAAATTGTGGTTACAACATTAACCCATGTTATCAAGTTTCCCCCCACAACCCATTGCAGTCACTGTCCATCAGCATAGTAAGATGCTAGAGAGTCACTACTTGTCTTTTCTGTGCTATATTGCTTTCCCTGTGACCCACCTACATTATGTGTGTTAATCATATGCCCCTTAACCCCCATCTCTCTCCCTCCCCACCCACCCTCCCTAACCCCTTCCCTTTGGTAACAGCTAGTCCCTCCTTGAAGCCTATGAGTCTGCTGCTGTTTGCTCCTTCAGTTTTGTTTTGTTGTGTTCTACAGATGAGTGAAATCATTTAGTACTTGGCTTTCTCTGCCTGGTTTCTTTCACTGAGCATAATACCCTCTAGCTCCATCCATGTTGTTGCAAATGGCAGGACTTGTTTTCTTATGGCTGAATAATATTTCATAGTGAATATGTACCACCTCTTCTTTATCCATGCATCTACTGATGGACTTTTAGGTTGCTTCTGTATCTTGGCTATTGTAAATAGTGCTGCAATAAACACAGGGGTGCATATGTCTTTTTGAATCTGAGATCTTGTTTTCTTCGGGTAAATTCCTAGGAGTGGAATTACTGTGTCAAATGGTATTTCTATTTTTAGTTTTTGGAGGAACCCCCATATTGTTTTCCAAAATGGTTGAACTAATTTATATCCCCACCAACAGCATAGGAGAGTTCCCCTTTCTCTGCATCCTTGCCAGCATTTGTTGTTCCTTGTCTTTTGGGTGTTGGCCATCCTAACTGATGTGAGGTATTATCTCACTGTGGTTTTAATTTGATTTTTCCCTGATAATTAGTGATGTTGAGCATCTTTTCATGTGCCTGTTGGCCATCTGAATTTCTTCTTTGGAGAAGTGTCTGTTCATATAGTCCACCAATTTTTTAATCAGGTTATTTGCTTTTTGGGTGTTAAGGCATGTGAGCTCTTTATATATTTGGATGCTAACCCTTTATTGGATATGTCATGTACGAATATTCTCCCATACTGTAGGATACGTTTTTGTTCTGCTGATGGTGTCCTTTGCTGTACAGAAGCATTTTAGTTTGGTGTAGTCCCATTTGTTCATTTTTACTTTTGTTTCCCTTGCCTGAGGAAATGTGTTCAGGAAAAAGTTGCTCATGTTTATATTCAAGAGATTTTTGCCTATATTTCCTTCTAAGAGTTTTATGATTTCATGACACATTCAGGCCTTTGATATTTTGAGTATACTTTTGTGTATAGAGTTAGACCATAAGCCACTTCCATTCTCTTACATGTAGCTGTCCAGTTTTGACAACATGAGTTGTTGAAGAGGCTGTCATTTTGTCATTATATATCCATGACTCCTTTATTGTATATTAATTGACCTATATGTGTGGGTTTATATCTGGGTTCTCTATTCTGTTCCATTGACCTATGGGTCTGTTCTTCTGTCAGTACCAAATTGTCTTAATTACTGTGGCTTTGTAATAGAGATTGAAGTCAGGGAGAGTAGTCCCCTGAGCTCTATTCTTCCTTCTCAGAATTGCTTTGGCTATTTGAGGTCTTCTGTGATTCCATCCAAAGGCCATTTCTACTGCACTATAGACAACAGACAAATGATAAAGTCACTACTTCATTCACCTTTCTCCACATGTGCATCAGGATCTGTGGACTTAACCACTGTGGCTTCTGAGGAATAGACGAAAGATGGATGAACTTGCCCAGCTCTGTTATGATCTTTTTTATTCCCTCTTTCCAGTTTTTTTTTTCACTTCACCTTTTCAGGTTAATAGCATTGGACTACTTCCAATAATGATGATTTTTGTTGGCCCTTTAAAATTTTTGTTACATTTCTTATTCAGAAAGTTATTCTGTAAGGCAGTTTTATTCTTCCATCTTAACATAGATACCCCCCAGAATTTATATTCTTCAGCTCTCTAGCTAAAGAAGATGCTCACAAAGTTCAAGGTAAGTTATTCATGTATTCTTGTGCCCACAATACTCACTTTTCATCACCTAGGTATACCTGCCCTCTCCGAGAGTATGACTTTACATGCAAAAGGAAAATAAGATCCTCCTGGCTGCACCTTATTGTGAGGTTGTGGCAATGAGATACATGAGCTAATGTGTAGTAATATACTTCAGAAAGCTTTCTCGTACTTGAGAGATATCATTATAATGACAATATCATTATTGTAGTTTTCACATTCTCCTTACGTAAACTGAAGAATCTGCTCAAGTGTTTACTCTTTACATGTATTTGGGCACTATAGTGTCTAGTTACCTAGACACTATATTTTCCAGATATTTTATTCACTATTTTGCTAGAATTACCTAGACACTATATTTTCCAGATATTTTATTCACTATTTTGCTAGAATTGTTACAGTGGATAAACTCAAAGTTCCCTCTCTGTATATTTTTTTTCATAGAGACTGTAAAACCTTGAAATTAGCCAGTTATTCATTCCTGATGGCATAAATACAATGATTATTTTTATTTGGTTGATTCATTTATTCATGACCTGAAATGCTACCCTAAGGGAAGACTAAGCAGCTAAAAAAAAAGAAGGTGTGTGTTTGTGTGTATGGAAAGCCCAGGAAGTAGTAAGTTGTTTTGCTTCTCTTTACAATACTGTTAACACCAGAGAGATGATTACAAAAGAGCAAAGTCACATAAAAGGATTCCTCTCTTCAGTCTACTCCAGGGACAGGCAAGGCAAAAGATGAACAGCTGAACGCCTGGAGTGGGAAGCCCACATATGCCTTGCCATGGAGTAAATCAGAAAGATAAAGGACATTAAATACATGTTCCTACTAATTCCTAAAAGCAAAAGCTATGTACTGGCTTATGATAATAACCAAGCAAAAACTCATGAAGTTCTGTAGGCCCCTTGAACACCCAATAACTTTATCTTTGTTCTGAGAGAGAGGTAATTAAGAGTTTAACAGACACATTTATTTTTATGGCTTAGTCTTCTTAGAATTCTGCCAACATAGCACCAATTTATGAAGTGCAGGGATTGCTTCCAAGAACTTATCAATATCTCTGTTGCTTGCTGTGGATGTCCTATCTCAGATAGGTCATGAAAGACACTCAACTTTCCAGATCCACTTACCTTTACTTCCTGAGATCAAAAGGTCACTTCTTAGCACACCTCTTTTTCTTTTCAAGCCTCAAGAACCATCATCCCACATTTCCTCAGACAGTGCAGTGCAAGCCCTTTCAGGGTCATGATATGTAGGAAAACAGCCTTAGGATGTCTCATTGTCCAAATATACAATGAGCCTTAACAGTAGGGCATAGAAATATTTCCTTAAAATGACAACAGAATTTGGAAGCTGATATATTTTATTTATAAACAACATTCAGATACAGAGATTAATCAGAGGTTTTCAAAGATCCCAAATGTATTTGCACAGACATGCCAGAGAGGAAAGATTGTGCATTTATGTGTTTCTGCCATATGATAGTAAAATCCAGGGCTGGTTATGTCCAGATATTTTAGAAGACCTGGTGACATATCACTTACAAACTACAAGCATTGGGTTTATTTTTTCACTTGTGGAAATTTCTGAATAGCTTCCCTTAATACCTTCATTCCACTATCTACACTGTGTAACTACATCACATTGTGACTTCAGGTCAACTGAAATTCATTCTTCAATTGCTAAAAGAATTTATGAATAAACCGTATTTAAGTTTTAACCCCCCTGTGCCCTCCTGCAGCCATTCTCCCTGTCAATTTTCCATCACATGAGCTAGTCTAAAGAGCTGAAAAGAGATTGTTTTCACTCATCTATTATTATCAACACTATCCATTCTGAAAAGTGTAATATATTGGAATTCTAAAAGTGTATCTTAATATCAGTCACACTTTATGCTAATACTTTGCTTTTCAAGAAAACTATATAGATATTGATACTCTAAAGCCAAAAGTTTTTTTAATAAAGGTCTAATTCTTCTTCTGTCCCCAACAGCACCAACTTGGTAACTTTGGTGAAGTCTGGGAAATGGGGCTCTAAAGACTCCAGACAGATGTGGGTTATCCCATGGGGGTGGAGGAGAGCTCATACTGCTATAATAGAGATGATGTTTTCATACACACACACATGTGTTTTCATAACTGCATTCAAAACACTGCCACTTTTTTGTTTCTACTGTATTTTCATGCTTCAAAGAGTTGAAAAAATGGTTTTCCCATTGTAAGTGTAACTTATTCCTGATAAATGTGATTTTCTAATCTCAACAAAAATAATTCTACCTTGTGGATAAGAAAAGTTTCTTTTAGGAGGTACTAGTGCAAATGCAGAACCTAATGACAACAGAACATTTATTAGGCCCCAGAGCTCCTCCCAAGGACACTCGATACCATACTCATTCCCTGGTGTATCTCCAAGATGGAATCTACGATTCCAGTTGCTCTTCATGGGGCTGCTAAAGAGTTATTGGGAACTCATGCATATAAATTCACCTGTCATATTTTAATCTGGAGAAGGAAAAAGAAATCCATAGTATTTCCAAAAGATTTCTACACAGAGAGTAAACACAACTAACTGTCAAACAATTGAGAGAATTGAAACTGAAATTAAGTTCTTGCACAACAAACCACCTCCTTTTAAAAGAGTAATATAAATGCATGCCTTGTTAAGATCTTGAGGGATCCAGTCTTAGAATTTAGTTTTGCTTAATTCGATCTTGGACCTGACCCTGGTTTATAAAAAACTTCAATTCCATAATCAAAGGTGACAAACTCCATTCCCTCACCTTTCCAGCATGTCTTTTAAAGTGTTTTAAAGAACTCAGCATTTCAGCAAAAAAGGGGCTGCTGGTTGAATTCACAGCACAAATGCATAAAAGACAAAAGTAAATAAACATGACAGGTCATTTTTTAATAAAGAACTTTAAAAGTAAATTGTGCTGCAAAACTACTTTTGCAATTACAACGTCGTGTTTGGCTTCACTATGTTGCAGAGGCACGCATTAAAACAAACAATCTTCTAATGCACTCTTTGAAAACAGTGCTTCTCAGCCAAGGGCTAGCGCAAGTTCATTCTACTGCTAGGTGCCGATGACACTTTGGTTTCGCTCTACTGGCAACATTTTGGCAACACATCCTATACTAAGAGGAAGGCCAGAAACCAAGCATATGGCAGGAGCCAAATCCACTGTGTTACTTCTTTTCATGTTTCTTGGTTAGTTCCCCCACGCCCAGCTGGAAGCTGCCCCGCTTGTCCGCAGTTGCCTCTTCCCTCTGCCGCCTCTCCTGGGAGACCTGCCGCACAGCTTGCAGGATGGCATTCTGCACAATCTGTTTGCTGGCACTCTGCAGCTTCCCCTCTTCAGGCTCATTTCCAGGTTTCTCACCTAGCCCAAAATACGAAAGGGAAGTGAAAAGAACGAAATTAATTTTGGGAACCATGACAGGAAGGGGCAAGAGGAATCGGGGAGGGAGGGAGACTATGGAACATGCTAGAGTGGCTCAGTTAACCATGAGGAACCTATAGAGCCCATATCATTACCACCTCCCCTTCACCCTTTCCAACAGAATCTCCATTTGTTTGCCCCGGGAATATGGGGCATTCCAATTTATATTCTCACTAACCCAGAGTCCTCGGCTGCTAGCAGTGGTCATGAGACATAGTCCTGCCCAATGAAGACCTCTGGGAAAATTTTTGGAAAGGGACAGAGTCATGCACCTTCTTTGGACTTTGGCACTGGTCCCTTCTTTCTGTGTGGGATGCAGACATAATTGCCATTTGGTACTATAGCTCTCTGACAAAAAGCATGGATTTGGAAGCCAACATTCTGGGCATGGTTGGGGAGAAAAAAAGAGCCCAGTTTTGAAATCATTCAGCATCTGTGCCAGCCATGGACCATGTATCTCTGGACTTCTTTCTATCTGAGATATAAATAAACTCCTGTTTATTTAATCCACCATTAATCAGATTTTATGTTACTTATAACCAAACATATGCCTAACAGAAATGTCTTCATGGGGCTGGAAAAGAATACATTGTTACTGAATTCATATTAAGCTCAACCTACTCCTGGAATAGCATCCCAAGGAAAGAAGTCATTCATTCATCCTCTGTAATATAGAATAGGGATGGGCAATCTTTTTCTATAGAGGATCAGATAGGAAATATTTTAGACTTTTGGGTCTTACAATCTCTGTAACAACTACTCAACTCTGCTGCTGTAGCATGAAATCAACTATAGACAGTACAAAAATAAATATGTATGGTTTTGTTGCAATAACTATTCACATATATAAAAAAAGGCTACAGGCCAGATTTGGCCCATAGGCCATAGTTTGTCAACCCCTAATCTAGAGTGGTGGGAATTTTCTAGGTAGAAGGCAGGTAGTCTACCCAATATTGATTCTTCCCCTTCTTGCTTAGTTGAAAACAAAACAAAACCTTGATTTTCTTGGGCAGCTACATAACTAGGTATAGCTAATTCTGACCAATGATGTGGAAGTTCACTTACAGAAAATTCTGGAAAATGTCTTAAAAAGGGAATAGGCAGATAAAGCCCCCTTGCCCTCTCTCCATCCCACTGCCAGTAACTCTGACACCATGAAGGGCACTACAGGGGTTCTTACTAACCATGAGGGAAACTTTATAATGGAAATCATTTTCAGGGATTTGGAAGGAAAAGAGGGAGCTTGAGAACCCAGTGACTAAGAACCCACCAGATTATTCCTCAGCTGCTCACCTCCAGGCCTCTTTCATGTTAGAAAAAATATATTATTAGACACAATGTTATTTGGACTTTCTTTTATTATGCAGCAAAGTTATTACTAACTCATACATGGCAGAACATCATGAATCTAACATTTGACTAAAGTGCAATTGTGAAAATTTTAAATTCCATCTGCTTATATTTAGAGTGATAAATAGAATAGGCATCATTCCTTATTCAAAATAATATTTTCAGGTGTCTCCTCTATTCAAATATGCTGCTACCATGAAAATATATTTAAAATGGGGGTGGCTTTCAACCAGGACTGATTAACTGCAGAATATATAAACCCATGAGAAAATCTGGGTTTTCATCACCCAAGAGAATACTGAGTCATTCTGGAACACTAGACAGCTCTTATCTCTTTAGAGAAATAATCGTCATTTATGCAGCATTTGTGTCACCAGCACTATCCCCTGAGGGATTTACAGTCTAGCAAATAAGGCAAGATGAATCTATTCAAAATTAAAGGACTAAAATTCTCAGCTCCCTTCCCTCTAAAAGAGCAAAACAAAATGAGCAATCAACACTAAACCAATCAAAGAAGGAGTCAGGAGCTACTATGTGTAACAGACTGAACCTTTAAATTGGTAGAGAAGAATACTTCAGATAGTCTCTGTAGAAAAAGAGTGAACAGTAATATTAAGAGGCACAAGGGCACAACAATTAAGAACATGTGTTTTGAAGCACTTCAGAGCTGTGTCCAAGTTCTTTCCACCACTAATACGTATGCCATCTTGGGCAGAGTCACCCCACCTCTCTAAGTTTGTTTGCACAGCTATGAAATGGGCAAGTAGGACCTCTTTTAGAAGAGTTGTTGGAATATTAAATGACATAACATCTACTCAACACTCAGTGTGGTTTCTGAGCACCCAGTGTCTACCACTGTGTATTGTTTAGGGTATGGATTAGGCTGCTGTAACAGAGAAACTCAGAGAAAATAGATGAGCTCACACAAGAGCTATTTATTGCTGTCTCCTGTAATAGTCCAGAGGTACTCCAGTGTATAGGCGGCTCTGCTCCACCAGGCTATGGAAGGAGTCTACTTCCTTCCATCTTAATGGTTGTGTCATTTTCTACTATACTGCATTCAACTGCTTAGTGGAGCTGGTTATCCAGTATTCTATTTAGACCTGGAAGGTAGCCAAAGAGAAAATTAAATTTTCTTTTAAAGAAAGGGCAAGCAATTTGCTCTCAAAGAATTATCACAGAAGTTACAAATACTCTGCTCACATTCTATTGGGGAAACTTAGTCACATGGTCACACCTAGCTACAACAGGAAGCCACAGGGGATACTAATAGATAGAATTGCAAACTGTGTAGCCATATGCCCTACTAAACTCTGGAAGGTTCTAACGCAAAAACAAAGAGGCAATTAAAGATTCTTTAAAACTTACTTCCATGCAAGGGCCAAGGCTAAATCAAAAAGGGAGGGTATATATTTGTAGCAGGTCAAATTTGATAATTCAGGGAGCTCTACTACCACTACATAGCATAGGTGTGTAGACAAACAAAGAAAGTTCAAAAGGTCAATGTCTGGTCCTGGAAAGACTGTCTTAGTGAAACTAGATATGTGTTAACTCAAACATCCCTGCTTTTGCAACTACTTTTCTGTCTGGATGGGGCAAAGAAGAATCTAGGATGAGAGTAAGTTGATTCCTTAGAGAGAAAAAACAAAAATCTACTCTAAATTTTGCTGTGACCTAATATCTGAGCCTCATCCATCCATTATGAAGATAAATTGATTAAAGTCAAAGGCAGTCTATGTCATGTTGTGTCTGGAGGATCATTTTAGTGACTCACAAGGTTGGTTTAACCCTCACTTCCTTCATTACCACTTTCCTCTGGGTCATGAATATCTATCTGCATTGGAGGAACTGAGACAAAACTAGCTGGAACAGAAAGAGGAATAAAGATGGGGGTAAAAGCTACTGAGAGCGTTGAGACAATAAGACTAAAACAAAAAGTTGTATGTGGACCCACAAAAGACCCTGAATAGCCAAAGCAAAGAAAGAATAAAGCTGGAGGTATCACACTTCCTGATTTCAAGCTATATTATAAAGCTACAGTAATCAAAACAGTATGGCACTGGCATAAAAACAGACACATAGATTAGTGGCATGGAATCAAGAGCCCAGAAATAATCCAAGCATGCACAGTCAACTAATGTTTGACAAGGGAACCAGGAATACTGAATGGAGAAAAAGCAGTTGGATATTCACAGGTAAAAAATGAAACTACACCCCTATCTTACACCAGTCACAAAAATTAATTCAAAGTGGATTCCAGAGTTAAATATAAGACCTGAAACCATCAAATTCATAAAAGAAAACATAGGAAAAAGGCTCCTTGATATGTGTCTTGGCAAGGAGTTTTTGGATATAATATGTCATGTCACGTAGAAGCAGGAAAATAACAAATAAAGCAGGAGGTACTACATCAATTTAAAAAGCTTCTGCACAGCAAAAGAAATGATCAATAAAATGAAAAAGAAACCTACAGAATGAGAGAAAATATTTGCAAATATATATCAAAAAAAGATTAATATCCCAAATGTATAAAGAAAGAACTTTCACAACTTAATAAGAGAGAAACAAATAATCCAATTAAAAAATGGGCAGAAGACCTGAATATACATTTTCCCAAAGAGGAAATATAGATGGTCAACAGGTACATGGAAAGATGCTCCACATCACTCATCAGGAAAATGCATATCAACACCACAGTGAGAAATCACCTCACACCTGTTAGGAGGACTAAGACAAGAAATAAATGCTGACAAGGATATGGAGGAAAGGGAACCTTGGTACACTATTGGTGGGATAATATATTTGTGTAGCTATTATAGAAAACAGTGTGGAGTTCCTCCAAAAATTAAAAATGGAACTACCATTTGATCCAGCAATTCCACTTCTGGATATATATTCATAGGAAACAAAATCATTGTCTTGAAGAGATAGCTGTATACACACATTCATTGCAGCATTATTCACGAGAGCCAAGACATGGAAACAACCCAAGTGTCCCTCAACAAATGAATGGATAAAGAAAATGTAGTGTGTGTGTGTGTGTTTTGTCTTCCATCTATATGAGATAATGGATGTTAACTAAATATATCATGGTAATCATTTCACAATATGTAAATCAAGTCATTTTGCTTATACCTTAAAATTTTACAATTACATATATTGAGACTATATACTGTATACTGTATTATATATAGTCAATTATATCCCAATAAAAATGAAAGAGAAAAAGGTTTAAAGACCATAGCTGCCTACTGTGTGTTAGGCATTTTGGCATGCAAAGAAAGATACTCTTTCTTTGTTTGGTTACCTTAAGTTTCCTATTGTTTGTTACCTTAAGTTTTTTTGCGGGTGGGGGGTGTAGTTGCTATGGAGATATATATGTCATAGCCAGATATCACGGAAATATTTGGCTGAATCTCACATTACCGTTCATAAATTAGAATAATACAATATAGCTCCAATAATTGGATTATGCAGATTGTTCTCTGCCAGTAGAGTTTCAACTCTTCATGAGCTACTACCAACTAATAACTCCTGTTTTCTTCCAGAGTCTTCCTGACTTCAAGGCATTTACTTACCCTTATTTCTCC